GCTAATAGCCACTGATGGACCTCTGCTCCATATGCTTATCTAATTCCCTTTTGAAGCCGTCCATGCTTGTAGCCACCACCACCTCCTGTGGCAGTGAATTCCATGTGTTAATCCCTCTTTGGGTGAAGAAGTACTTCCTTTTATCCGTTCTAGCTCAACTGCTCAGCAATTTCATTGAGTGCCCACGAGTTCTTATATTGTGAGAAAGAAAGAAAAGTACTTCTTTCTCCACCTGCTCTATCCCATGCATAATCTTATAAACCTCGTTCACATCACCCCTCAGCTGTCATTTCTCTGAGCTAAAGAGCCTCAAGCGCTTTAACCTTTCTTCATAGGGAAAGTGTTCCAACCCTTTTATCATTCTAGTTGCCCTTTTCTCCTTCATGCACCTTAATACAAAAAGCACCCTAAAATAGCTCAATTTTTTAATTAACTTCCTTTCTCCATTTATCCATCTACCTTGTTTAGCAATTGGCTGGAAAAACGTCTGAACCAGCTCTTGCGCTGGTGGCTCCGTATATCAAAAAAAGGTATGTATTTCAGCTCCAAAACAGCCCAATAAACTTTTGTTTTCCTGATTTTAATTCCCTTATGACAATATGACAATAACTCACTGTAGGATCCAGAACCAAACAGGCATTCTAATGGGAACATAATGCTACAAACTATAGCCTGTTTTAGAAGTGGAAAAGAGGACACCAACTGGTAGTTGTTTATAACTGCACCTAAATCATATTAACAATAACAAATGCCAGGTACGTGACTGGAATAGTGCCAATATTTTTCTCTCTGATTGCCAGTATATTAATGAAGGGGGTGATAATGTCTTTTGATTAGGTTTAACATAAACATGTTAAATATTTGAACAGATTCTCAAAGATATTTCATACAAATACATTTCATAATCTAATGAAAAGAGAGACCATGAAGCAGAAATGTTACAGATTCACTCCTTAATTGGACCAAGGTGATTACAGGGCTTGTAAACAGTCTCAGCTGATCTTCCAAAAGCAGCTACTGAACAGGTCTGGAAAGCCATTGCTTTTAATTGATCCCCAGGTTTTGCTGGTTCAAGTGTTCCAAAATCTAGCAGGAAAGCATAAAACAGGGAGCGTTCATACTTATAACAACCAGTGTGACATAATAACTACTAAAACAAAGAATCCCACAATTACTGGGAAAGGGAAGCAAGCTGAGATGGCCATGGAAAACAGCATTAATGTGTTGCTATAGCCACAGAAAGCACAACAGGATAAATCTAATTGCATTACTGCTGAGTGATTTGGGATAAAGCAGCGGAAGTCACATTGCCAGGTCCCTGGAAACTCTCAAACAGATTTGGCCAGATGGATACAAATGGGAAAAGTCTCATTCAAAAATACGGTTGAGATATAACTAGGGTTGCCAACGTCCAGGTGGCGGTTGAAGATCTCCTGGGAACAGAAATCAGTTCCATCTGGAGAAAATGGCCACTTTGGAAGGTGGACTCTATGGCATTATGCCCCACTGACGGCCCTCCCCTCCCCAAACCCCACCCTCCTGAGGCCTCAACCACTTTTGGCTGTCATGGTATTACCAGCAATAACAATAGTAATGGCAATAATAAATGAATAATATGGTACAGCTACCTTTCATTCACCACTGAAATGAACGGGACTTGGGCGGCTGAAGCATTTGGAACATCAGAGCCTTTGTTGATAACTGAATGCATACCAAATAAATGGTAGAGACCCGTCTGTTTAGCCAAAGACCGAAGAACCACATGTGAGAAGAATGAACTGAATAATTGCAGCCATCTGGAATTAATATCACTAGCACTTTACTATGTTGTACAGTTCATGATTTTAGAATTGTTTTAATCTACTGCGGTGGCTCAAGTGGTTAAGATGCTGAAGTGCAGGCTGTGGAAGGCCGGTAGTTCAGTAGTTCGAGACCCGAGTGTGCCGCATAACGGAGTGAGCTCCCGTCTCTAGTTCCAGCTCCTGCCAACCTAGCAGTTCGAAAGCAAGAAATTGCAAGTAGATGAATAGGTACCACTTTGGTGGGAAAGTAACAGCGTTCCGTGCGCCTTGGTGTTTAGTCATGCCGGCCACATGACCACGGAAATGTCTTCGGACAGCGCTGGCTCTTCGTCTTTGAAACGGAGATGAGCCTAGAGGCGGATTCGACTGGCTTTCGAGCAAGAGAACCTTTACCTAAATTTATATTCATGTTTTATTGTAAACTACGTATTGATTTTATGTAAGCTGCCCTGAGCTGGCCTTGGCTGGGAGGGTGGGGTAGAAATCCAATAAATAAATAAATAAATTATCAGACAGTTTGAGCCCAAATACATGGAGGTCCCATTTTCCCAACTTCTACATCCTGTTTATGGCACTGTGGGCACAACTTCATGACAACAAAGTCTAAAATGAGAAGGAATCAGATTGCCTGGGATTGTTGGAAAGCCTGGAAGAGAAAGGAAGGAGGAAAAGCAAGAGTGAGAAGATGATACTGTTGGTGAGTGGGTCAAGAGCTACAATGGGGAAAGATGTATGAGTATTTTCAGGGTAATTTCAGACAGATAAAGCAGCAGAAAAGCTGGAAGAAGTTGCCTGTCTCATGGCTCTTGACTGTTAAAAAGACTGTATCAGTGGACTTCAAACACTGCCTGTCATATAACTCAGTTGTTAAAGAGTCATGAAAAAGACTCACAAAAGAACAGCTGTCCCTTTAGATTTCACCATTAGACTTTAATAACTTCTTTATCAATCTTTGCCAGTGGCAGCATACAGTCACTGCTTGAGTAATTGCCAGCTCCTTATGTTCCCAGAGGCCAATTAGCCCATCTAATGGTCAAAATAATCTGATGAGATTTCTTGGTAGTTCAGAGCAAGGATGTCCATTTGTATCTACGTGCATTATCACTGCTTGACAGAGTACAGAAGAGCTAGGACAGTCTGATACATAACACAGTTAAGCAGAAATACTAAGGCTGATTTAGCTCCACGTACAGCCTCATTCTGTGCACTGTTGAGTTTAATGGGATTCAGTCCCACATAAGTCTGCATAGCACTGCAGCCTTAATTCGACAGACTTATAGCAAATGCAGATACATCAGTGTAAATATATATGTATTTCTTTAAAGTCACAAGGTTTACGTGGAGGGACAGGTTAATTAAAGGACCAAGGACAGACTCTCAGCTGTAAGGCGAGGTACTACTAAGCAGTAGACCAAGTCTCATGTGAGTCAAAGAGCCTCACCAGCAGGCCCAGTGGCATACCCACCTTTTTCCCATTGTCAGGTGAGATTCTATTGTGTACCAACTTAGACCACGCATGTGGTCGCTCTGCACTCGCGGTCAGCAAGTAACCAGAGCATTGATCTCAGAAACAATGGGCACCTAGGATCCTAGTAACAGCCTATCGGCTGACCAGGATCCTAAAGGAACCCTATTCAGATGTAAGATTATGTCAATAGGGTGTATGGGTGTGTGTGGATGGAGTTGTTGTTGTGCATTTAAGCAGGCTTGCCCTGTATCTTCTATCTTCTGAAATCACTTAGTAAAGTATGAGCTGAAAATCACTCAACGATGTGTCAGTCTCAGTACTTTTCAGATTACAATGCTGGAGGCCGGGATTTAAGAGGCCAGGAGGGCCTGAAATGTCCCAGGGCTGCTAGCAGGGCACAGTGTGGTCTTGGAGAAGCCAGTGGGATTATAGAATAGGTAAATCCAGGTCCCATTTCAGACCTTTTTTCTGTGTGTGGTACACCAAGCCTTTGGATTATGCAGGCCTGGACTACCCCATAGAAACTCAAGGCCCTTTAAAAGTTAGGACTGGAGCATCAACTCCCTAAGGCACAGGAGCACTTCCTCTTAGTCTCTCCCCCCCCCCATTTTAATTCTGTAGGAGGAAGTGGAGAAGGGCACGATTGTCTTATTATTAAATATTGGGAATATTGTTCTGATATTTCTGGCATAACTTTCCAGTACGATAACACTACTCTCAATATTTAATAATAATGACAAGCAAGCCTTATCCTGACTTCCCAATACGGTATTAACATGATGTTTTTACCTGCATACCCCTACTTCTAGGTTCATAGAATCATAGCATTGGAAAGGACCTCCAGGGTCCTCTAGTCCAACCCCTGCACAATGCAGGAAATTCACAAATACCTCCCCTACACACACCCACTGACCACCTGTTCCATGCCCAGAAGATGTCAAAATACCTCCAGGATCTCCAGCCAAACTGGTCTGGAGAAAAATTGCTTCCTGACCCCAAAGTGGCAATCAGCATTTCCCTGGGTGTGTAAGAAAGGGCCACAAGAACTAAACACTGAAGCAACCCTTCCTGTCCTCCCTCTCATGATCTGTCTAAGGTCACACAGTCAGCATTGCTGTCAGATGGCCATCTAGCCTCTGCCTGAAAACCTCCAAAGAAGGAGAGCCCACCACCTCCCGAGGAAGCCTGTTCCACTGAGGAACCGCTC